TCCTGCACTTTGACCTTGGACACGGTCTTCTCCGTCATGACGTACAGGTGCATCAGCTGCGAGTCGAACAACAGGTCCGGATTCACCGTGGAATTTGTATCGATCTCCAGGTCGCCGTATTCCAGGGCCAGGGTCGAACTCTCCACGACCACCTGTAAAAGAAACGCGTGATACGACCATGATCAATCGTGTACTCGATTGCGTAACGCTTGTGCTCGAGATCGATCTCGCCGCGCGGAAACGCACGAAACTCGACAAGGTTTCCAACCTTGCGCGCTTTTTATCCCTTCTCGGGGAATATCGCGAACGGATCGTGGATGATTGCGAAAGTCGAACGGTTGGTTTTCGCTCCAGATACCCCGGGAAAAATTGCTAATCGCGACGTAAAATCGATCACCGAGTCAAGGATCCCTGTTCCTTTTTATCCATCGACAAATAGCATAATACCAATGGCAATTCACGTTGCAGCAAGGCTTCTGTTCGAGAAAGAAGGGCGAGCCTGGCATCTCCGAGCTGTAAATCCGGATCAGACCCGTGGGCAGCTCGTTAAATCGATCCTGCCAGGTCTCCCCGATTTAATTGTCAGGGATCGAATTCGATAAACTAAATAAAGCATAGTGGGGATGGAGCCTGGCTAACTCAACCCCTTCTTTTCAGCCTTTCCTTCCAGACTGCTAATTCGATATGGTTTATTCATCGGAACAAGGTGATACAGACTGATATACCTGGCGCGATGAATGAAACATTTACAGCATTTTCATGAAAACGAACACGTCTCGTTTCCATGTTTTTTAAATATTAATCGCTTATCAACGCGTAACGTTCAGATCCGTGTTTTCATTTTTCCGACCCTCGTCTCTGCTCATCTCCACCTTCGTTTCGCGGCTGAACATCCCGATTCGTTGCCTCGTCGGGAGCAAACGATCAATTTGGACACGTACACCGTGGAAATTTTAAATTTTAACTTCGTCAAATTTATACCCCGTTATCCGCTGGGACATTTTTCCCCACGCAGCACTGCTTGTTCGCTCGCAGTCGCGACGAAGAGATTGCAAATTAAATCCCGGAGCCGACTAGATTTCGCTCCACGCTCAGACAACCACGACGATGACGGAACGTCTGCTTGTTGGAATTACACCCATTTGTCTAATAAAAAAGCCAGGCCGTCCCGGGACCGAGCAATGAATAACGCTAATTGGCTGATGACGTTAAATTGGTCAGAACTTAATTCTAAAGAGATTCTGAAAGTTTCGTCGTTACGCATCGCGATCTGCTAAGCGACGAACGATTTTTCGCGGAAAATACCGAAGAAACGAAATTGTCGCGTGCGATGGAAAACACACGTCGAAATACAGTTTTAAGCGTTTCATTGGGGTAATAAAAGAGGTCGATCGTAATCACGCGTTTCTTGCGTTCCACTGACATCCTGTTGAAAATTAGACAATAATTAGAAATCGAAGCTCTTCCCTCGTCTATTCTTTTGCACAGCTGTTCGATTATGTAATCTCGCTGGTTAAACGAGGAAACTCTCTCACGGTCGGTTCTTTTTTAACGCATAGAAAATAGCCGTTCTTTCGTGGCCGTCCCACGGCTCTTTCTCTTTCACCACGACGCTTGAAATATGTTATCTCTCACTCGTTACGTCTTTACGCTTTGAACGCTTTCTCCCTCAAGTGTGCTCTCTCGCTCGATTTTCTATACGCGCGCTTTCTTCTTTCTTCCCGGCCGTGTGTCATTCTATTTTAAACACACACGCCTAGGCTAATGCCGCTTCAAAGCTGCGGTTCAGGAAAATCGCGGCCGCAAGAAGCTTGATTGAACGTGATAATCCCGTACCGTGTTCGTTAACTCGGCTTGATAATTAATATATTCTTGGACACGAGTTCCTCTCGCAATTTTATCTCGTCACATCCTTTCCCTTTCTGCCTTTCATATATATTCGGAATTGCGTTTTTTAATATAAATGCTAAAGAGGCAGACAACAGAGGCGGCTCTGTTACGTTTTGGTAAGCGCTTTAACACAAATACTTTGCTCGTTAATTACATGGCATAGATCTTCTTGCCACGCAGTTTTTGCCACGGCCTTTTTATAGTTATACAATTCCGGGACACGTCGACGTCGGGGGTTGAAAAGGAGGACAAATCCGGAAGCTGAAATTAACGGGTATCGCGTCGCGGCCTTTGCGCGGAAGCTCGTCCACGTTTTCTCGACAATTTCGGTTTTATTTCCGCTCTTTGCGCCCTCTTGCAATTCAACCCTCCCTTTAACGCAATTTCTCCGTTTTAACAGAATTTGAAAGCGCCGCGGAGATTTAATTATATCGCGATATTTAATTATAGAAAACCGACGGTGCAATGATCACACGGGACGCTTCGTGCCTTCAATTCCACTGTTATTTTCGTATCGCGTGGTGAAAGCCTTTTCCCACCGCTGTTCTTGGCAGAACTTTATTAATAAAAATCTGTAAACCGAACCCTCGATTTTCAGATCCGTCGAGCGTCAGGGAACAACTCCGTCGTCACGAAAGTCAGGGGGTGAAGAAAAATTGCGCGTGGTAAGAGGTTAACGAGGGACGTTGGCCATCCGACGACCAATGGCGACACCACCGTGGAAGGAGGTGGAAAAAGGAGAGACACCGACGACCCTGAGTAGAAAATCAAAAGGGTCGAAGATTGACGTGATCTTCGATCCGTCGTCGGAACACCGGCAGAACTACCAGGTAAGTGCATTACACGTTTTCGTATCCTTCAATCACCGACAGCAACGTCCCTTCCCACCCACGGTACACCGCACGGCGCGCCTAGTTATCGCCGCGAGCATGGAAGCCTAACGGGCAGCCTTAACCCTTTATTTTCCAACCGTTTAATTGCACGATTCACATGCATCGGCCGCGATGAACCGCGCGATAGAAAGGAGACAAAGTTCAAGACCGCGACCAGCTAGCAGAAGGCGAAGAGAAGGCGAAGAGGGGGCGAAGAGGAAAGAGGGAGGTTCGTAGAAGGAAGTCCTCGTCCTCGGGGAACGGCCGGCACGTGACCTCTGGCCCGAATAAACGAATCGACCCGGCCTGGACAGCCGCCTCTGTGCGACGACTATGTTGCAATCTCTGCCCGCTTCGGCGTGCAGAAATAATAACAATAATTATCCAGCTACCGCGGGACCCCATGGTAGCGATGTTAATTGTACGTCTGGTCGCCGGCTAAAACGCCAGTCGCGTGATTTTTATCCCCGCGATCGGAGAGATCATCCCCCTGGATGCAAGCGTTCCAGCGAACACCGCGTCTCGAGATAGGTGTCTCGCGAAACCGAGTCGCATTGGTATTAATATCTCGAATGTAGCCGAGTGTTGGAAAATATTGGATTTTTGGTATCTCGATCGTTGGTTCTACCGGTCTATAGTCGAGTACTTGGGAAATATTTGGAGTACGCCGAGTACGATGGCGACATCAGCGAGCCTGACGCGAGGGGGTTTTAGGCATCGACGTCGAGGATTTACATCGGCTTTGTCCACAGTCATCTCTGGAAGATAAATCACTCGTCACGGAGCAGGTCGGCGTGTTGTTACATCGAACGAGAAATGTGTATCTAGCGCGATTACTTCGAGGAAAATTGGTTGACTTTGAAATCTGCTTGAAATCTGTTCAGCCGTGAAAAGGAATCGATACTTGGTCGAGAACCCGTGGGAATAGGAATTGATGAAAGGTTCTCCGATAGGGAGTGCAAGCTGCACTTTCACAATGAAGATGTTTTAGATGAAAGTACGAGAAAGTTATAGAGGGAAAGAATAGACGAAGATCCCGTTCTTTCCAAGGATCCGTAATAAATTTGAATACTCTCCCCGAGCTTCCATCGGTTTCCCCCTCTGCTGCTCCTTTTTATATTATTCCAGCCCATTATTCCCGCGTCCAGATAATTCTTCTTGCGCAGCTCTCGTATAACAAACTACTTCGCTACAGCGACTACTTCGTCATAACCCATCGCAAAGTTCAAACGCAACGCGTTCTTTTCATTACCGTGCCTCTTCTGTTCCGTCCATTTCTCCGGCTCATTGTTTGCGAAAATTGCTCGTCAAGGTGTACCGTTTAGAAGCTATACCCTAAAGGTGAAGCGTACACTTCCCGAAGACGGGCAGGAACTTCTGCAATCCCGTGGTTCACGGGGCAACAGGAGTCAGCGGGGTTAAGCCACGTCAAAACGGGAGGCGGACGTTCGAGCAAGATGTAAGAATATAATCAACGTGGAAGCAGCGTTTTCGATGTTCACGGTTGTTCAGCCACGATCGACCGTCTCTTTTGTTCGCATAAAAATCGTTGCAATTATCAGGCTACCGAGGAACAGGCGGACGGTTTAATTGCTCCTGTTCGCTGGTCCCTCTCTCGTGCGCCGTCCTACTCTTTTCCCTTTCATCCTTTCATCGGGAACGATCTGAGAACCGTCAACAAAGATGCAAGCGCAGTGGTCGGAAAAGCCTCGGTATCCTACTTTCCCATGATTACTCCATCGTGCGGAGAATGAAAGATTAATCCCGCTGCTTGTTAAATATAATAAATATAATTATCACCGGCACGGAGCACGCTGGATCTCGCTGGATCTCGCTGGATCTCCCTGGATCGGCAGCCCTCAATTACACGCGTATCTTCCATCTCTGGCGAATGGTAATGAAATAAGAAGGCCCGCGAGTTTTCTACGGCGATTTGCCAACGCGATTATCGCCAACAACAACTCTGGCCTCTTCTACGTTGCTCAATTAACTAGCTCGCGTTTTTTTAAGCACGTGGAAACACGTTTTTCTACCTGCTGCGACGTTGTTCTTGCTCTCGTAGATTGCTCGATGAAACGACGTGGTAGGTGGTGGGTTTGAACATCTTTTCATCAACGCGTCTCAACGACCAACGTCTGAATATCGTACAGTGAGGCCCGATGCGTCCAAATACGGTAAAAACTATTTTCTAGGCGATACCACATATACAGGTGACCCTCCTATAACACGGTAGATAGGTTCCTAGAAAATGCCGAATTGTGTGAAACCGTGTTGTACGAGACTCAGAGCCAGCACGAAAAGGGGGGTTACGATTCGAAAACTTACTAAAAACAAATTTCTTTTTTATTTCTACATAAATAACTTAATTTTTATTAAAAATATAAACGTAT